GTGCACCTCTAGGAGGATTTGGTTTGAGTCAGTCTTCAGTGCATTCCCCCCCCCCAGTCTGGTAGCCGTAGACAGCAGCCGGGTCCCCCCGTCCAGGCTAAACGAGGCTGTTCCCTGCAGCCTCTCCTGTGTTGTGGGCTTCAGCCCTCGCTGGCTTGGGGGCCCCTGCTGGGCTTGCCCCCACGTGTCGGTGTCTGCCCTGCGCTGCGGTGTCCCACACTGCACCCTGTGTCCAGGTGTGGTTTCCCAAAGTGCTGAATGGAGCGAAAGGACCACTCCCTGGACCTGCTGGCTGTACCTGCTCATGCAGCCCAGGGTGTGGTTGGCCTGCTTTTCTGCAAGGGCATCCTGCTGCCACCTGTTCAACTTGTTGTCTGCAAGATATTTTAAACGTTCTATTTTAGGATATTAAAATGAGATCAAAGTTGTTATTTTTTTTTTAATTCCTATTTTAAGGTCTTAGTTTTCTGTAATATCATGAGGCAACTAAAGAATTGATCCTGATTTTCATCTTACAGGCCAATCATCCAGAAGTTCATGTTAAAGGAGTTGAATGTTCAACAAAAATAAAAACTTTAGAGTGTAAGTAAGGATATTTGGAAATAAAACAGTGTTTGGGCTCAATTCCTGGACCAACCATTTGGAAGAGAGGTACTTTGAATTTCATTTTGCCCTACTGGAAAGACTTCCTAGATTTCAAACTAAGAGTCAAATATGTCAAGACACTTGGAGGATTTATGACCCCTTCCCTTCTGCTCTCCACTTCTCAGAGAAGAAAAAAGCTCACAAAATTACAAATCCCAGAAAATGTAATCTTTCTGCTGTGATGTAAGAGCAAGATTTGTTTGAGGAAGTTGCTCCAAAAAGAGCAGACAACGTTAATATGCTACCTCAACTTCAATTTATCTAAAAATCACCTTGTTCTTTTTAATGAAAAAAAATGTACTAAGGAAAAAATGGGTTAGTAGTATGGGTAGCATAAAAGGACTTTGTGCCTCCTAAGAGGTAGTTTCACCTTAGTGTTTGATGCATGAACAGCAGGGCTGGCTTTTATATACATGTGGTATATAAAAGCGTATTGTAAGAAATGTCTGGCTTTGATGTTTTAGGCATATAGTTAGGAACCCAGTGATAGAAGGGATCCAGAGATGAAGGGTGCCATTGAAGTGCAAAGCACTTTTTGTGATGTCTTATCCCTTAATCGTATACCTTTGTCTCTTTCGGATTATTTTAAGTACAAGATCTATTTTGTACATATCTTTGCATATGTTGACACTCATTTCTTAAAAACAAAGGTATGCTGCATTTTCTTTGAGTATGCCATTTGTGTTTCCTCAGTGCTGGGCTTATTGTTAGGTGAATGAACTTTTATCAGCTCTGCCTTGGGGGTCATTGGCGTGATTCCTGTGTGCGAAGACTGCTTCTTGTAATAAACTCTTTATGGTTGCAACCCTTAACAGCTTCTCTCAGATCCAGTGTTGCATCCTGTGCCATCGCTACGGTACTCTTCAGACTCTTGGCTTGTATCCTGATTTCTGTCTCTTGCTCATCAGCTGCTCTCTTAGTTGAAGTTCTTGGCTCTCTACCCACTGTTCCCCTCTTGGTTCAGACCTTGTCTTAACCATTCAGCAAGACTTTCTGCATCCCAGCACTCTGCGTTCAAGGCTGTGGGTCAGTGCCAGAAGAGCTGGCCAATACGTATTTGTGGTTTGCAGAAAGAAACACTGTGAAGATATTTCAGTGACTTTACATTTAAATCACAGAACACAGGTAAGCTAACTTGTCGTTGTTTTCCTGTTTCAAGAAGGAAAGCTAAAAAAGAAACTGTGTTGTGAATCATTAGATCTCGTGGTCTTACAACAGCAGTGGTGTAATTACTGGATAAATTATTCACGAATCTAGACAGAGAATGGAGGGTTTCTGTTTGTAAGGTTGGCAAACGACATCTAAGTAGATGCTATGTCTTATGGGTCCTCAGGACTTTATAGAAATTGTGCCCCTTGTTTGTAGCACTGCCTGTTCTGTCCATGATTTCTAGGGTTGATTGAGTAATGGAGGCATTTATCCAGTGGACTTTGGCAGCTGTATTTGGTTCACCCGGTCTATTAGACTTCTTGTGAATAGGGTTCGGTTTTGAAACATATCGTCTCTTTCTTGTGCGAAATAGGAAGCAACTGAGAATGTGCCTGTTGAAATGATACAGGTAACAAGTATGGGACTGTCGTGCTGTGATCAGCTGGTAACTTACTCTTCTTCCTAAAAAGGACTGTTAATGATGATATCCTTTATGAACTAAGAAAAACAAACATATAAATATCTACCTTAGCAGGTGTCCGTGATGGTGGTGTTTTGATTCACTTTGTTTGGTTTACTTTGTGTGTATTATGCTCATTCTCTCATTTTTAGCTGTTGTAGTTTTTATTTTTTTTGGTGTGTGTTCCTGTGTAAAGTGACTAGAACTGCATTTTCTGTTTGGAGTGGAAAAAATATGAAATTGCCTCAGGAATATGCTTGAAACAAGGTTTTCTGTTGTACTGAAAATAAACCAAAAATTTACCTTTCGTGGAAGGGTTCTATGGTTCTCTTTTGAGCTGTAGTACATCTCATATCTCAGGTGAAATTGTTTCTAAACAAGAAAGAACAAATTACTTTTACAAGTAGTAAAAGCTAGCAAATTGGTTGGATCAAGCAGCTTTGGAGATTTAAATGAAATTAACACATGCAGAATGAGGAATTCCTTCTGCTGAAAATGGATAATTTGGAATCAGTGTCAGGATCGGTGATTTTTAAAAGGGAGAAGTCCATCTGCACAAGAAGTCTGACAAGATTAAAAAAAAAAAAAAAAACGATGGAGGGGAGAATAACTTAACCAACTGAGCCAACGGTCAGTCGTGCTGCACTGCGTGTGCGGTGTGCCCAGGCCTGCCCAGAGCTGCTGGGCTGCTGCCGAGGTCGAGGCCTCCACCTCGGCCCGTCCGCGCTGCCGGCCTCGTTACTTTCAAGCGTTGCTTCTGGTTTTCTGTAAGGTTTAAAAAGTGTTTGGTGAAACTCTTATGTATTCATTTTAAATTGACTGAAATATGAATATATGGATCCTTAAGCCTGGCAGCTTTTTATAAAGAAGATTAAGTTAGGTGTTCTGCTTTAGTTAATCCAATATCTTTAGCAAGTAGATAAGTTTTCATGGCTAGTGGTAGCTGTGTTCCCTTTCCCTCCCACCAGGGCTGCAGCGCTGGCTGGTTTGCAGCCAACTTCACTCTAATGTTTGTAAACAAAAATTCAAAAATCAGATCGAGGTAGTGGTAGTACGTAATTTGGCTAGAAAGCTTAAAATAATTCATGCTGGCTATCTCAAGAATCCTTGCTCATCTACAGATGGTCTCTGAAATAAATGGTGAACTTCCAGCAGGTAATTTCCAGACGTGTGGGTAGGGAGCCAAGAACATGATTCAGAACATGCCGTTTTTTTTTTGTCGTCTTGTGTGCAGAAGCAGTAGGTATGAGTTGAATGTGTACTGTCGTACTGGGCAGAATGCATCTTGCAAAGAGGTATTGTGGGCAGATCAGTCAATTGCAGATGAGGTTAGAAGAGTTAAGTCTGAATTCCTTAATATCAGACTGGAATAGCTATAATAGTCGACGACTTGACGTAAGTGTTCTCTGGAAAAATTTCCCTAGTTTCCCACAAAACTGGGAATAAATATAGAGAATCAGGCATTTTTTTCTTCCATTTCTGTAGCTTTTTCGTTTTAAAGCATCTTTAAAATTTGGAAGAGTATTTTAATGTTACCAGGATTAAGAAGTCAGACTGGAGAAATGAATTATAAATGGGCTTTTAATAAATCTGCTATTGAAAATGGTTTAAGCATTAATTGTATTATGCTGTTGAAAAAAATTCTCTCATCTTGAGACGCATACAAATAGCCATCAGAGAAATGTGGTCACTCTGGGGAAATTTTAAAAACAAATATATACAAGGTATTGTCATAGTTCAGAATTATAATTAAGAAAATACTTTCTTTGTGGCTTTAGATGTTAGTTGACAATGGTAGATTTAAAACACATCTTCCATTTGAAATTTTAAGTTATTTGAAATATTCCATTGTGATTTGCTGCTGGATTATATTGCAGATTTTGTATTAGCAATCTTTCTGCTTTTAGAAAAGCAAAAAGTTACTTTTTGCTCCTCGGTTTATTTCAGTTTTTCACTTGCTGACTTCCTTTGATGTTTATGTTTTAGCTTAGCATACTTTGTTATCTAAATCATAAGTAGCTAAAAGGATTAAACAGATGCTCCTCTCATATCAGTATTCTTGGTAAGATCTTTTACTACCAAAAAGTGAGAACGTCTAACATGAAATTTAAGGAAGATGTGAGTTCTAGCAATTTTCGAATAGTACAACACTTGTTATGTGTTACAGTTTCTGCTGCTTGCCTCTCTTCGTTCTGACAAAACTCGTAGTTCTTCGTCTGAGGCGTTTTTTCTTCTACTTCGGTCAGAAGCGTAGCTGCTAACCTGCCAGGAGTTGGGAGGAGAGCTGAAGGTGTGCTCAGACGCTCTGCTCTGCCGGTCTTTGGCCGTGGTTCGCAGCTGTACTCGCAGGGACAGCCCCGTACCAGGGCCGCGGCCATCCTTGGAGGAGGCGGCGTTGCCTTTGGCCGTCTCCGGCGGGCGCTGCCTCGAGTTGCTCTGTGCGTTGGAGGGTGGGAGAGCGCAGAGCGCAGGCCTCGGCTAGCTCCTGGCAGCCAGATCTGGCTGTACTTCTACGGACGCGTCCCTGACTGCCTCGTTGCAGGGGATGTGCTTCTCCGTCAGTTCTCCGTGGTGGTTTCCCTCAGCTCAGATTAGACTATCAGGTGGATCGCTCTTTCTGGTAAGGCCAGGAGACTCCTTAGGAGCTTGTCACAAGGAATCTGGGAGTTTCTTTTCTCCCTCTGTTGCAGGCTTTGGAAACTCTCTCTCTCTCTCTCTGTCGGTGGCAAGATAGGCAGGAGTGAAGATGGCAAGTGAAACCTGTCCCCCTTTGAGTGTGGTTGACAGTGCAAGGCAGGCTTTTCCTACCTGCTGGATTGGTGAATCTCAAACCAAATTTCCAGGTAAGAAATTATTCCTGCTTCTCACTTAAATCAGCCTTAGGTACGATAAAAGGAGAGAATGAAACTTCATTCAGGCTGCCTGTTGTATGTAGCAGCGGATGGGACAGTAAACTTGTATGATTGAACAACTTTTGCTGTCCGGGATAGCGTTTGGAAAAATGTGTGACAGAGGAAAAATAAAATCTGATCTTAACTGCACAGTTAATTTAGAATAAGATGTCACTCATTTCAATACTGTGAATAAGCCAGAAAGGAATTGTAGTTTAAAACACTGTGGACCCCAAGCACAGTGTTTCACCTGATGCTCTCAGTATTTATTAATTATTTCTTCTAATGCTTCTGTCAGGGAAGAAGCATTTTGTCTTTATGGTTAGGTGAAACTGAGCTGCACGGGATTTGAACAAAATCCCGCCATTATCTGAAATAAACATCCTAATTTTCCATTCTTTGCTTTAGTGCTGCTGTTAACTGCCAGAGTATTAATTTATGGCTTCAGAATAACAGGAAGCTATCCTTGAGAACACAGGAAGTCTTTACGGGAATTATTAGGATTGGGAAGAGAATATAAACCAGTCTGGTCGTCATAGTTTTCTATAAATGCATCTGTAATGCTAATTCTAGCATTTAATTCTAGCATCTGTGATTTAGAAACACATTGAACTTTTAACAATATTTTTTCTTGTGGGTCATCTGAATCCTGTTCCTGGGAAGTAGCTACGTGCTTTTTTAGAAAGCAGCGTTGTACTATAAGTATGGGTACTAGAGCTAACACCTTTTTTTTTCCTCCCAATCTTAAGATTTAAATCTTGTAATTTAAATTCATGCAGTGAAAACATGTAAGAAGTTCTGCTAGGGTATTACTAGGGTGATGTTTTTACTGCTACTTCATTTTATTTTTCTTTGGTAAGAATTTTTTGGACTGAAACCGGCATTGAAACCTTGTCTTTCTAATGGGTTATATAAAGATTTGAGTTGTAGTTTGTCCTAAAAACATTCTGATTAAATTTTTACCATAAACTTTGTTAGCTTGCCAATTTTCTCAAGTTTTGACAAAGATGAGGGCTTCTTCCCGTTTCTTTTCTGTAAATGCTGTTTCAGTGTGGATTTTCTCTACTTTCCCCTCTCCCCTCCCAAAATAAGCTTTGTCTGTAACATTTGAAGTAATGCAGTTTGACTTCTAGCGCAATGATGTAGCATACATTTGTTTTATATTAGATTAAAAGAATGGGAAATGTCAAGTGGATATTTCCAAAATTGGAAAGCTACCATTGAAAATAATGGGCATTGAGATATGAGGAAGAAACCTAATATGCTGAATGAGAATTGCAAAGCCTTTTCTTAGGACTGTGATGCACTGAGCAAAGTTTAATACTGACCAGCAAACACAATGAATAAGTATAATGTAGGAATCATAATATTCTTTATCGCCATAAATCTACTGTAAGTTCTTCATATGCAAGTATACCTTTACCAAAATATTCTTTTGTTTTCTGGAACAGTCTCTTGGGCCTGCTTTCTTTTATGGCCAAGTTAAAGGACTTCTGGCTTTATAGGGCTTACTATAATGGGAAAATAAATGCCTTTGTGGGAAAGGAAGCAATTTCTTGAAATACAATTTTCTAATTGTTACTGTACCTGCAGTGTCTAGTTAGGATTCTGCTGTAAGTAAGAGCGGTCTGACGTCAGCAGCGAGGGGTCCTGCAGAAATGCCTCCTTCCCTTCACCCAGTGCAGAGCGCTAGGGGCAGCTTGGCTGCAAAGTGCGCTTGACGACGTAACTTGCAAAAGCGAGTGCTTGAGAGCTGTGTTTGCTGCTCGTATCCCCATTCTGTGTCCTTTAGGACAGAAGTCGTGGGCAAAATGGAATTATCCATGGTTGGAATCCAGCTCAGGCCGGCCCGTTGGATCGATCTATTTTGACATCCGATTTTATTCAAGCCTTCAGTGATTTGTCTGGTTTAAAAAAAAAGGGGAGGGGGGCTGCACACTGCCCCCCCAGCAAAAAACAGCCCAAAAACCAGAACCTTCTTTACAGGAAGTGGTTTGAATCTATGGAGCTTGAGTTTGTACTGTAGAGATTGTAGATCTTGGGCTTTGTTTCTTCTGTAATGTTTCATATAATTTACCAGAGAGAGCACTAAAAATCTGCTTTAGCTGTAGTGTGTTTGAGATGGAATGGTTTTAATGGTAAAAGACTGAAAATTTTGTTGTGCAAGTGTATATACGCATCAGATGGTAAATGGCTTCTATATAGTATTCTCTAAAGGAATCTTATCTTTCAGTAGGAAGAAAATCTTAATGTTCTTTATATGGGGGAGTCTTTATTGTAGAAATGAAGTCTTGTATATTTGATAGTGAAATTCTAGTTATTTTTCACATCTTAATCTCAAAGCATGTGTGGTCTGATGAGTGGGAATTTTTAGTTGGATTGTTGCTGTTGCTCTGAAATGAGTCATTTGTGTTTTGAAGAGGCTATCATTAATCTTAGCACTTGTAAAATTAATGCTAATTAACTCCTAATGTAATTCATCTCTATCAAATAAGACCTAGTAGTCTAACTGAATATACACAAAGGAGTTAAGCGTCATTTAATTACCTTTACGTTTTAGAGTGTTTCAGATGTCCCAGTATGCATAAGTCCCTGATCCCTTTGAAAGCGTCCCTTGAAAAAAATATTCTATGGTAAAAATGTATAGGTGCTTGATTTAAGACTGGATAGCATTTCTAGGAAGAAAATGTTAACCATCTTGTTAGTGGTAAATAAATTTTTAAATCTTCAGTGTTGGTTATTCCTAGAAAAATTTTAATTGTCATTTTGGTTCAGTTAATAAGTTCTTTGCATCTCAGCTGAGGATTTAGAACTAATTGAGCAAGTACAGAGGTAAACAAAGCAGATCTTTCAGAGAATGCAGGAAAAGAACTAGTCTAATTGTTATCCCATGTTAAAACTATTTGTATACCTTTGTATGTATACATGCAAAGCGTCTGGTCTAGGTTTTGTAGAAAGGCAGATGTAGCATGTGGCATGAGAGGATTTTTTTGCTAGAAACTCATACTACTACTGTGGTTAAAATGCCTTCCCTTCAGAACACTATTTGAAAAATTCCTGAAACCTTCAGATAGTGCACGTTACTGCATCTGCCTCCCCTGGCCTCATCGAAGTGGGTTATGTTAGAAAATACGCTGTGACACTCTTCTCCTTTGATATTTTCATGAGCGCTACCCCAGACTATCCTGGTACGTTTCCCCTAACGCTTACCTTAAAACAAGCTGGACAATAGATGGTTATAAAAATTCATTAAAGGGTGTCTTGAGTGTAACGGGGCGGGGCGGGGGAGATACTTGCTTGGGGAGAACAAAGAGTTTGGCTGAAAATATGTATTGGTTCAGAAAAATCCATAGGAAAACTGAGCATGCTGTAGAAATTCTCACAACTTGAGAATGTGATTCTTTTCTGAAGAATTTTTGTTTTGTTTTCTTGTGTGTAACCTGTTACAGCTGGGTAATGACAGATGTTTAAGGGTAGTGTTGTCCATTGTGCAATCTCTTCGTTTACCTAAGAGAAATGAACAGTCTGAGGCAGATTTTGTGTTCGTTCTTGTCTTTTGATTTTGGCACGTTGACTTTCCCGTCCTTTTTCTCAAAACTGGGGAATATAAAACTTTTTTCTATTTTGCAGTTGGTGTAATCAGATGTCCAATATGCCGCCAAGAATGCAGACAGATAGACCTGGTGGATAACTACTTTGTAAAAGACACATCAGAAACGCCAAGTAGCTCCGATGAGAAATCAGAACAGGTATGTCACTTTCCTGCTTTTCAGCATTCACGTGCTGTTTTTGTTCCTGTGCACATTAAAGCTTTTCAGGGTAATGTTGGTAACTGGCTCTTTCCCTTTCTAGGTTTGTACAAGCTGTGAAGATAATGCTAGTGCTGTTGGGTTTTGTGTGGAATGTGGGGAATGGTTGTGCAAAACTTGCATAGAAGCTCATCAGCGAGTAAAATTTACTAAAGATCATATGATCAGGAAAAAAGAGGATGTATCTTCAGGTGAGTGTTTCAATATCGCTTAATCCTACCTGTAGTAAAGCCTCTTCCTCTTTGTCATGTGTAAAAAGAGGTGGAGGATTATTTAGGTACCAGCTGGTTGCCTGGCTTCCACAAACAGTTGGGAAAAGTGTAGTAAAGGGCTATCAGGGCAAAACTGGCAGGTCTCAAAATAGAGGAAAACACTGCATTTTAAGCTAAAATGACTTATTTGTTAATACTTTATACAATTTGAAATGTCCAAGTGCGTAAGAGACAGAATGACACCATGATCTTTGGATAGGATTTAGATCATTTGTTAATAATCCCTTTATTTTATTTAGTAGCATAAACTATGTGAAGGGGTTGAAATCTGCAGAGTATTGACGTATTGGTAATTGGATCCATTGGCCAAGGGAATGTAATTATACATTTTGCTTTACTCGGTTATAAAGAGCAATTATATTTCTCCCAGTGGAAAAGTGTGTACACATAAGATTATATTCTTACTCAATGTAATGTTACTGTTGCATTGGTTTTGCAAAGTAAATGTGAAATTTTGATGCATGTTAGCCATAATCTCTCTCTCTCTCTCTCTCTCTCTCTCTCTCTCTTTTTGTTAGCAAAAATTCATCTGCAAAGTGTGTGCACAGTTTTAGACATGCAGTTTTACACTATCTCAAAACAGTTTAAAAATAACTGAATTTCGGTTATATTTACTTTGTAAACGAGATTAAGTTCTGATTGAGAACTTGTAGGCTCTACATAATCTGTATGTACCACAAAGGCTGATCATACCAAGGAAGAGAGATCTTGATGTCTTACTCTCTATTAATTTAAAATAACTAAGAGCTTCATGTTTGTTCTGTTTTGGCATTTCAAAGGAATAACACTGTTTTCTGACAAAGCTTTTGTCAAAATCATATTAATAGTTAAAATGTTTACAATTGAACTTGGTTCCTTTAGTCAAAGATCTGGTTTCACTTATTCTGACTCCTGAGAGAGGCTTTTCTTTATGTCTTACTGAGTACTGTTTCATAAAAATCTTACCTATTTAAGTTTAAACTTCTTAGTCCTAATGTGAGATAACCTGTTAAGCTGTAATCAAATGACAAGCTATTACAAAGAATTACTAATGCTTTCATTAAGAATGCTATATTGTGACTGTCAAGGGGATAATATAGCCCCGATTACCCTTCAGTAACCTGAGTGGAGAGCTGCAGAGAAGTGACTGTTCTGATACAGTAAACTTTATACAGAAAATCCAGATGGGTATTTATGAAGCGTGAACCCAAGGCGTATAGTCAGCATGCCAAAACATGGCAAGAATTTAGCCTTCTTTTGACCTATCTGACAGACGCCGATCCTTAGTAACCCTCCTGATTGTAGGGAATGACTATTCGTTATGTGCTCGGAGGAGCTTGTTCCTTCCTTGCTTGTTAGACTATGAGATATGCCTTGGAGACTTTAAATTTACTTTAATAAGTGTGAGCTTTAGATTCATGAGCTCTCTTTCTTTGCAATAACTTGAATGATATAACAAGCTTCAGAAATACTTGAGAATACCAGGAAGGCAATCATATTTACTTGTTTAAGCCTTACCTGCTTTAGAACTGCTTTTTGATATTATCTTTTATTTGCTTAGGTGGAAAAGATATCCAGCTTAGCTGGAGTTTAAGTAATTGTAACACTGGTAATACTGTTGTTTACTTTGCAGTTACCAGTGTAGTTGCTTATGACTTATTGTAATTTATAGAAGTTTTGAAGCAGTAATTGAGAGAATCTCTGGATGTTCAACAGTGTAGAAATTTGAGAGACATTTGATTGTCCTTCAGTCTGTCAGAGGTGAACTTGCATGTAGTTTAATCTTTTAACAGGTGTGCACAGTTCTTCCATTCTTACAGGTGCCAGTGTCTTGAGCATTTCTGATGGGGAGAAGAATTCCTTTTTTTCTCTGAATATACTAAAACTGAAAACAGCTATAAACCACTGGCACTGAAAATATTTTAATGAGAACATATTTACTGTAACTTTAGACTGAGAATAGATCTGCAATCAATTAGCTTTGTCCGAGTTCTTGGTTGTTACTTAGCTTTGCAATTAGCAATGTCGCTCTTCAGATTGTCTTGAACTGTATTTTAAAACACAAAAATGATTTCTTTTTTGAAAACAGAGGCCGTGGGAGCATCTGGTCAACGTCCAGTTTTCTGTCCTGTCCACAAGCAGGAACAGTTAAAACTTTTCTGTGAAACATGTGACAGGCTGACCTGCAGAGACTGTCAGCTACTGGAACACAAAGAACACAGGTACACGAACTACCTTGTCTGAACTCTTGTGCATTTCCTCGGAGGAGAAATGACTGATTTCACACAGTGGTGCCATGAAGTACAGTTGCATTTACTGCTCAGACTGAAATGGTCCCTTGCAAAGGAGAGACTGTGTCGGGTGCTGAAAGCAGTAAGAGTGATAAACTGGCTGAGCTATGTCAGGCATCTTAGATCAGATACGATATGGTGCGAGTAATGTGTTAACTTGCCTGGCATTTGTTAGTGCTGTGCCTCTATTGAGGATGCAAATAAAACAGTTACGTGGCAATTGCTACAGCCCTGAACACCAGGTGCTGTAAAGAAGCAAAGGGGATACAGTGAGTCACAGATGAGGTAAATTTTTAGAGGATGTATTTTATTATGTAGCAAACCTTCAGTTTAGGGTAAATTCTGTAAAACAAAGGTGGTTTTGCCTTGTAGATTAATTTATTTTCCTGATACAGGGGAATAAAGTTGTCTGCTTGGGTTTAGTTGACTGAAAGTTGCATCATTCCAAGTGAAAAGAAGTTAAGGGCCCTGTGTTTCAGGAGCTTGCTTTTCTCCTAGATGCTAGAAAAAACTTGAACCTCTTAAGATACCTTAAAACTTCCTGCTCTTCATCAGCTCTGTAATACGGTTCCTTGAATGTTTGGAAAAGCATAATAGGTAGTTTTGCAGTGTTGCGTATCCATACCCCAGGACTTCTATTATGATTTGTCAGCTGCTGCAGCACTGTTCCTTCTGGCCAGTCTCTAAATAACACTTTCCTGTAAATGTGCCTGACGATATGTTGCCATACGGAATTTAGCATTTTTTCCAGAATTTTGGGTACCCTCAGATTACTAGAGCAGTCTAATGGAGAACTTTTAGCTTTTAAATTAGAACTATTAAAATATTAAAAACTTTCCGCTCTGTTCCTTCATAGGCTTAATCATAAATATCCTAAAAACATACCTTTCCAGAGAGCTTGGTCTCCTAGAATATGTTAGCTCCATTCTTCTAGAAACTTTATTTGCATCTATCTGCTGTGCGCTTGATGCTAACTGATTAACAATCCGTAAATAGATGTATCTTGTTCTACTTATGTATTCTCTTATGTATTATGTGAGAAGAGTGTACTTTGCTGTTAGGATGCTTTGTTGCGGATGAATATTCCTTAAAAAAATTTTCTGTGTGCTGATGTAAATAGCAGATGATTAGAGTGATTGCTTCTTCTGTCATGAAGTAAAACTGAGATTTTAATGAAGCTTGGTAAAACATTGAAGGAAAATCATGCCAGGTGGAAACAAGAATTGATTTTAATCTCCTGTTTACTTATCACCTGTAATCCTAATCCTCTGCAACAAAGGAAGATGTTAAATCACCGTTTCAGTAACAGCATGGCACACTGTTCAGTTCAGAACTTCAGATGAAAGAACTGCTGGTGATTCTGTAGAAAGCTGTGCTCATTCATCGTCTTTCAGCAGCCTGAGTGTGTGAGATTCAACTACCTCAGGTAGTTTCCAGTCTGCGTACTTTGGAAGCTAGAAATAAGATACAATAAAAAAATTTTTTTTGCCATAGCAAGAATTATGGCAAAATTTCAGCAGGGCTAGATAAATACAGTGATTTTTTTTTCCTCTTCATCAAAATAGAATTCTGTTTTTAAAGTTCATGAAAATAGTTGTAGAAAATGTTCAGATTTTCCTCAACTATTTCAAATTTTGCTTTCTTTTTTTTTTTCTTCCCCTAATCTAATGTTAACACAATCATTTGTCAAACTCTGAAGTTTCTGGTGTCTCTTTGTTGGTGTTCCCTAGCTTGCTATCCCATGAAGTGATTCAGTGTGTAGTTTCCCTGTGTGCTTGAAATTCATAAGTGACACCTAAGTCTTCTGGACATTTACAAAGTGTTTAGTTCTGACACATTTTGCACATTGATCTGGATATGTTTAACCTGAATTTTCTATATTTCTGTCACATTTTTGTCAAGCTTTTAGCAGGAAATACAGTTTCACCTGTAAACTGGGAACCCTTAGCTTCAGCACGTTGCTCCTTAGTAATTGATATCTTCTCTTGTGCGTTAAAAAGGTATCAATTTCTGGAAGAAGCTTTTCAGAACCAGAAGGGTGCAATTGAGAACTTGTTGGCCAAACTTCTTGAAAAGAAGAATTATGTAAATTTTGCAGCTACCCAAGTTCAGAATAGGTAAGTACCCCAAAATAATTAACTGTTACTGTTGCGTTACCCACTTAGTGAATCACGTTAAGACAAACAACTGAGGGGACTACAAGAATCCTTAAGTTTTAGTTGATTCTATAGCTTTAGTGATGCTGGACTTAAATACATTTGGAATTTTTTCTTCTCTACAATATTGTACTTTGGAATTTGTTATAAGAAACAAATGTCAAAGATGAGGTCTTTCAAGACAACTTTGAGTAGAGTCACAGATGTGACATCATATTTAGTACAGTTTAAAAAAACAAAAAAAGGCAAACCAAACCCCTGCTATGGTTTCTGCTAAATTCATCTCTGGATGACAGAAGCTTCGGCCATAGAGCTAAACAAACCCTTCTTTAGATATTCTTATGTTGTATGTGAAGACCTCTCTGTTGTTTGTTAACTGTGTAACAAAAACTTATTTTGTTTGTTTGTTTGTTTTAAATTGGACAAGGAAAACTTACTCCTATTTACCTGAAAGGAAAACGAGTTTTTTCCTTAGGTAGTTTGATATAAAAATTCAACAGTTAGCTTATACTCAGGGACATCTTCCTTTTGGGTTAATATCGTGATGTGACAGTGTGGTGTGGGAGCCCTCTTATTGATGAAGGAGCACAGAGATGCTCCATGCAGCCTGAAGTTTGAATGTGGATACAGTGAGAGCATATGATCACTGCTGTTTTTTCAGCTGTTAATGAAGTTGTGGTGTGTGTGTTCTTGGCAGTTTTATGAGCCTTCTGGAATCTTAAGTCATTTGCAAAGTGACAGATCATCTGGAGGTAGCAGGAAATGTATCAAAGGTATAAGGAGAAGTTTTTGTGCAAATTTTTAACTCCTAGTAGTAGTATATGCGTAAAAAAGTAACAGTTGTGAGGCTAGGAAGACATACGATGTGACAGAGGCAAATATGTGAAGATAGAAGCAATCAAAGCAGAAGCTTTTCTGTGCTGATTCCACATGGAACTCATTCAGGGGACCCAAAAGAAGATGCTCGTAAATTAGGAGAGCAAGCTGTAGAATTCATACATACTTGAAGAAGAGACAGAAACCCAGTTACATGGGAAATCATTAAACTGTGAAAGCTCAAGAAATGTCAGAAAACTCTGTGACAAGAAATCAATGCCAATAATGGTTGGTGCTTATGAATAAAGCATTGTAGTGGTTTCTGCCTATGACGAAGTACTTTGCTCTGTGAAGGTCTGACTTCTGACTTCACCGAAAACTCAGTGAATTCCTACAGTAGGTGGTTGGATTGCGTAAAGATCGTGATCATCAGCTGAGCCAAATGGGTAGTGCAGGTGAGATACCAGTCTACTTTAACATATTATCCAATTACACCGTTGAAGAGAGGGGCACAATATCAATCATCATAAAAACCTTGGGGAATGAAAAGATGTGTATTACAATAACGTTGACAGTCTTAGCAGATGGTATGAAATTGCCACCATATGTGATCTTAAAATGTAAAACAGTGTCCAAGGAATAGCTGCCTACTGGAATAATTGGGAGGTGCCAAACCCAAGGATGGATGCCTACTGACTTAATGAAGGATGTGTCGCCTGTTTTCTGGAATAGGAGACCAGGTGCATTGTTACAAGAAGGACATTTGTTCTAGATGCTTTTAAAGGGCATCTGGTACCAACGGTGAAGATCATCATAGAGAAGTGAGTCTTGTGGCCATACTAGGAGGAATGGCATCAGAAGTTAAGATGCTTGATGTAGTAACAAAGAAGCCCTTAAAGAACCTTTTAAGTCTTTATGCTCAGACTGGTATCTTGGCAGGGGATTGTGCTCTGACTCCTACAAACAAAGCAAAGACTCCTGATGCAATACCACATTGTCATTGGATTAAGACAGCATTGGGATCAGATAAATCCAGAATTTACAATGGAGTTTAAGAAATGCTGTGTTTCAAATTCTGTGGACAGAACTGAAGGTGATTTATTTGAGTTTGAAGAAGTTGAGAATAGTAAAGACACTAAGAGTGAAGAAAGCGACGATGGAAATGAAGTGTAAGGTGTAAAAACTGAAAGGCAATAGTAATAAAGCACAAGAGAAGAACGTAGGCTAACAATCAGGCAGATCATTGGTGAAAAGCTCATATCCAAATTGTATATTTATTACAGGTATGTAATAAAGATGTAATAAAGTTTGTTTTTAACATTTTTGGGGGGCAGTGGAGGATTTCATCTTAAATTCAGGGTAGTCTTCCTTTCTAGTTAATATTTAGTAGCATAAACATTTAAGGCGCTGTAAGTAAATTCTTCATAGTGAAACAGACATAATATGGAGACAAGTATACATATTTATGCATATGCACACATACATGTGTGTACACACATGTGGTCTTTGCTCTGTGTGTGTATATACATGTGTGTGTGCAAATGTGTGTATATATAAATAAAATATACAAATCAGTCCTTGTGATGTATATTATTTCAAGTAAAATGCAAGTTGTAATTGAGGTATCAGCTTGATCTCAGACTATTCACATTTTTTCCAAAACCTGAAATTTTAGATGTCTTCCTCTGAAACTGTTGATTATAACCATTTCTCTGTTAGAAATGAAACAGGCTATCGATTTTGCATTTATCAAAACTTCATCAATACAGAAATTGCTCCTTCACTCTTCAAGGGTGGGAAGATGCCTGCGGTGTTTAGTGTTTGGCGGCATAGCATAAAGTGACTACCTGACAATACATTTCTCTTTTTTAGGATAAAAGAAGTAAATGAAACTAACAAACGAGTAGAACAGGAAATCAAAGTGGCTATATTCACCCTCATCAATGAAATCAATAAAAAGGGAAAATCTCTCTTACAGCAGCTTGAGGTACAGTTAAGACAAAAAATTATAGTGTTGTTCACTGTTTCAAATCCCCTATTAAGAACTCACATTCTGTATTTGAGAACAGTTTACTTGGTGTGACTGTAGGTGTTGCAATACTGTTATTGTCCAGGGGTGGTGTATCCTTGGAGTTGTCTCCTATTTATCCCTTAGACTAAGGCCTATGGTTCCCCTCGTTCTTATGTCCATGCCCGATTAATTCAAAATCGGGTTCATCAGAAAGGAGTGTATGAAAATCTCCTTGCCTTGTTCTGTTTGCCAAATTTCTATGTTAAAACATACCTCTCGGAGGCCTGTACAATCTAGTCCTTTCCTTAAACAATTATTATTATTTTTTTTTAGTCCACACAAATATATTGGCGTTGTTACACTTGAGCTGCTTGCTTTTGTGTCCTCCTGATAACCGTAACTAGAAGCTTGTCTTCAGAGTGTAAACTCTTACAGACAGGTCCGTATGCCTAGTCTTGAGCATCAGCAAATTGATGTGGTATGCTCAATGCAACTTGACATGATTCTTTGTTCTGTGGGTTTTGTTTAGGCAGTTAAAATCAGTGTCCTCTCTTTTGCTTGTGCAGGGTGGCGGCTGCAAAGGGATATTTGCAAGTTCTGAAAACTTTCCTAAAGCTATTTCTTTATTCATTCACGGTTGTTCTTTGCTTTCTCTTAATCCAGTTTGAGTTTCAAGTTATGTTTATGTGATCATTTTAATCTAATATGTGTCTAGATAAAGGAGGAGATCTGTGCTGATTCCCACCTTCCCCATTGTGCAGACAGCAGGATTTTTGCAGCTGCTTAGAGAGCCAAACTGGAAATTGATCTTGATGAAAACTTTGCTTAAACAATTTTCAGCTGAGCAGGCTTATTCATCCAGGACTCTGTGCCATGGGGAAACTATTGCCTCAGGAAAGGACGGGACAGCAGCACAGACTTTCTAGATATTAAGTGAGTGTGTAGCTACAGGCTCACTGTGCTTTATTATCACATGTGCAACCTGCATCTGGGACCAGAAACAGCCTGCACTGTGCGGTAGTGCTTGAATGGCTATGACACAGTGTAGACAGATCTTCATGTTCATAATCTCTGTGTGCTGTGGAAGGTTTCTTTCTTCAGTTCCTATGATGACATTCTGTGTTGTCATCTTGTAGATGTGACTTGCTGCGCTGCTTTATAATGAATTCCTACTTACCTTTGGAGAAAGAAAAAAGCATGGACAAACACAAGGAATAGTTGAGTTTGGACAGAATAGATTCTTTCTTGGCAAGGGGAGAGAACTAGAGCTTTGATTGTCCCAAACGATTTTTTTATTGTGGTTATTTTTTGAAAGGCACCAATATGTATCTATTTTAAATGTTGCAAGTAGGTTCTACTGGAATAATGTTTTTGCCTGCTCTAACAAGTCCAGAGAATTTTATGCAGGGGAAAGGGCAGGGAAGCTGACAGGCTAGTGTATAGTTTTCGTTTCTAATATACTCTCATGTTAGGTTGGCTGCTTTTCTATTAAGACCATGGTGAGTCCTAATGGTGGTTGTTGGTATTTGTGTCTTCAGTCGCTTTCAGAATTGATGTTAACTTCTAAAAAATACTGACTTTTAAAGTGCAACAAGGTATTGGATTCAGAGACAGGATATTGTCTTCCATATCTGTACATAAAGGTGTAATGCTGGTATTTTAAGTTATATAGGTTAACATCTTAAAGGAGTCAATGACTTTAAATATACTTCCCAAATAGCATGTTCTGAATAAATAATGATAGTCTCTGACTTTTATTCAAATCTATGTAAAATTTAACTGACGACTACGTTTTACCTATTCTAAAGAGATGAAATCTGTCGTAAGAAGTTAATTCATAGCATGCTGCTAGTCTGCCATAATGTGATTGAAAAGTTTAAGATTTAATTATTGAGAATAGTTTCCTTCTGGTTAAGGAACAGTTATTTGGCAATGAAATAGGCTTAGAGTACTCCTGGAAGAAAAAAAGGTATTGGATCAGGAATGAAATAAACAACTTGAAATTATACAAGCAATTGAATTTTGGCTTTTCTTGATTTCCTAGCATTTGTTGCAACCCAGAAAAATTCCTCCAGAAATTTTCTTTTTATGTGTGAGTGTGAAATTGTTATAACTGTCCAGTCAGGTATTGTTAAGGTTCAAGTGCTGAGGATTTGGTACTGCAACCCATTTTTTTACGGCAGGATTTACAGCAGGCAAGTTATCAAAGGCTAAAGGCTCCTCAGAGAAGGGGTGCTGGGTCTATCCGCTATGTTCAGGAGGTAGTTAGCGGTAGTTCCTGCTGGGGTTGTTCAGAGTGCCTGGGCCACCTCTGTTGCTGTCTCTCTCCCAGCTGCTGCTCCGCAGCAGCTGTGGCAGGGTGTGCAGTGCTGAGCTGGCAGTGTGGCTGCGCCCTGGTCTGCGATGCTCCTCCAGTTCTCTGTCATGCTGCTGTGCTCTGACGACATGAGGAAGAGCAATTTGGTGGTGTTTTAGTAGTTGAGAATTTCCTGGGACAAAGCAAAGGCTCTTATTTGACCCCACTGTTTTCTCTGTGCTGTAATACCTCCTGGAAGAATTATTGGACATAGTTTACTCGATGATTCTAGCAATTCTGGGTGTAAGCATTGGTAAAGGCTTCTCTGCTTGTGACATTTTTTCTTTCACTTTGTAAGAACTGTGATAGTGGTTTACGTTTTCTTCTTAAATCTGAAGCTCCCATTGTAATAAGTTTTGATTCCTTTGTAGAATGTAACAAAGGAGAGACAGATGAAGTTAATACAACAGCAAAATGACATCACTGGTCTTTCGCGGCAGGTGAAGCATGTGATGAACTTTACCAATTGGGCCATTGCAAGTGGCAGCAGTACTGCTTTGCTTTACAGTAAACGGCTGGTAAGGAAAGATCTTCTAACTTGTCTGTGCAGTACAAAAAAAATGCTTGGTCAAAAGAATTTCTTAGGTATCACGTAGCTTCACTAGATTATATGTGAGGAAGAGACGATGACTTGTTCATGCTTCATTTAAATCTGTAATAAGGGAATAAATTTGCCAACTTGTACAACATTTTTATTTGTAAATTAAGGACTTACAGTCCGTGAAAGACTGTGATCCACCTCTGTAAAGACAGCTCAGTGTTTAATCTGAGTCATCACAGAAATAGTATTACTGTGTAACAGTACTTTCTCAGTCCTCTGAGTTCATTTAAAAAACTAGTTGTATGGCAGATGATTTTTTTGGTGAATCGGGTGCTTTCCGGTATGCTCCCCAAGCTGGCTATTGAAAGTCATTGTTGGTGGTCTAGCAGTCTAAACTCACCGGACAAAGTGCACACTTAACATTCTCGTTCTTTGTTTTGTCGTCATCAACAGTTGTCTTTTTGCTTTCCATTAGATAACGTTCCAGTTACGTCATATTTTAAAGGCACGTTGTGATCCTGTCCCAGCTGCCAATGGAGCAATACGCTTCCATTGTGATCCTACGTTCTGGGCAAAGAATGTCGTCAATTTAGGTGAGGAAACTGTGTATGTATATTCTGTGCTACCTGAAAGATTTGGTAGAGTTAGCAGTATTCATATGTTAATGCAGAAGAGCAAAACTCTCTTGTTGAGATAACCCATCCAGTGTTCTTTCTGTTAGCAGAGCTTTTTCTGCAGAGGTTTTGCTTCCTAATGGAATAGTTCTGTTAGCCTTTTTCCCCCTCTTCTACCCTGATTGAAATGGGTGAGGTATAAATCACTAGCACTAAATGAGTGTTTCTGGAATGAACTTTTTTTGTCGAGTAAATGGCTATCCCTATTAAAATCAGTTTTGCTTATTGGATGCCTATTTAGCTACAAATGGAATGCTACTAGATGTCTTAATATGTTTGAAATGGCATGAATAAACATAACTAAAAGGACTGTTGTTTTGAGCGAAGTTCATGCCTCCAAGCCAGTGTGTGCCATTGCTAGTAAGGTAGGTGAGTTAATGAGCAACTTTTAAATAGCTTAATATTCTAAGATGCCTGACACTATAATAACAGTTAAAGAAAAATAAAGCCCCTAATAGGAGATAATCTGCTGTTCCTGTGTGTTTGTTGCTGTTGCTTGCAACTGCCATACAGTCGATTGCAGCACTGTATCTGTAACTTTTTATATCTTCAGTCTTCTGTCTCAGTGCTCCCGCTTATTCCTTCTTTGCCCCAAGGCCTGAGTTGCTCTGGGAGTTTGTAATAGTTTTGATAAGAGATGGTAGCTGCAGGGGTTGTTCTGCATGAGCACTTAATGACAGCTGAGATCACTGGGCATTTAGAGTTATGATTACAGTGTATAGCTGACTGTTGTTAGATGCACTAATAAGTTGTGTTTGTGTAATGAAGTTAAGCACTTAATAACTTAACCTCTTCAGTATGAGCTTGTCCTGCAGGAGTGCAGTGTCACCGTTTTTTGGTGGGACCTTCTCCGCTGTCCCCAAATATCTTTTTCCCAGATTTTGCTATCCTTACCTATAGAAAATTTTTGCTCAACATGGATTTTTTTTTTCCTTTTTATGACTGCCTTATTTCTTGTCCTGTCCATTCATTGTGAACACGAAGAGCAATCATGTCTGTCTTGTTATCTTTTTAGGCTATGCAGTTCCAGTTCTTTCAGTCTTTCCTCACGGGTCCTGTTTTTAGTTCTTTAATTTTTATTCTTCTCTGGATTTTTTTTTTCTTCTCTCATGTTTGGTTATAGAGACCTCAGAAACTTAACTGTTTACTAATTGGTTCTTTTTTATTTTATTCTTCAGGTAACCTTGTTATTGAAAACAAACCAACTCCTAGTTACACTCCTAATGTAGTAGTTGGACAGGCTCCCCCAGGAACAAACCATATCAACAAAACTCCAGGACAAATAAATCTAGCGCAGCTTCGACTTCAGCATATGCAGCAGCAGGTGTATGCACAAAAACATCAGCAACTGCAGCAGATGAGGATGGGACAGCCGGCTGGGTCAGTTCCCAGACAAACGGGTCCTCAAATATTACAGCAGCAGGCAAGTTTCTTGTATGCTCTTACTTCACGTTTCACCATAACACTGAGGCTTAAAATTGCCCTTTCAAATATGAATTTACAAAGCCATTTATAAACTTGAAAATCTTAAGAAATTTGACATGTTTTAAGTATGGCAGCCATTGACTTTTCTTGATGTTATGTAATTAATAAACCTACTACTGTGGAAAGAGATTGGCTTCTTTTTTCCATGTTAAAAGCAAGAATTTTAAAAAACAAAAACCCTTGCAGCCTCCCAGGTTGATCAGCATGCAGACCATGCAGAGGGGTAACATGAACTGTGGGGCTTTCCAAGCACATCAGATGAGAATGGCTCAGAATGCTGCTCGTATACCAGGAATACCACGCCACAATGGACCACAATACTCCATGATGCAACCGCACCTCCAAAGACAAGTATATCCTGTGTACACGCTTCATTTGTGCCATTGTGCCAAACTTTCATTAAAATAGATGATACCTCCAGCTTTAAATGTGTTTATCTGTAACACAGTTCACAGCTACACACATTTATATGCTTTTTCATGTTGCATGCCGTGCTGTGAGATTTTTGTTCAACGTAAAAAATTTTAAGCTTTAAAAATGAAAAACGGTTTTAGTATTTGTATTGTATTTTAGTCCTGGGAAATAAAACATTTCCATTTTTCATTTTTCAGTGGCATTCAGCTTTTGGGTTTCTTAAGGAATAATCAGGAATAGTAAAGTTCAAAGTGGTGTAATTTAGGGGTTTTAATCAAACCAAATTCTACAGTGTTGTCAAATTCAAACCTGAAGCATGATGCAGGGCTTTACTTATCATTAAAAAATAAAGATTCCGGACAATTAATGTGACTGGAAAATCAGAAAGATTTTTTTCTTGAATACTTTGAACTGTTACTCTGTTCTAAAAATGTTTATACATAGACATGTGGACTCTAAGTTATCTTTGGAGGAAATCATTACTCTAAGAAAATGTAACCATACAATAAAATAATTTGACAGAAGAATGGGACAAATCTATACTGCACATCTAAACATCTAGCCATCTAAAATGCTTTTTCTTTCCAAATAAATCTAAATAGCATTTACTTTGCATTCAGTGCTATCAGGTTATGTTTATTAAAAAAAGTGAATTTGTGTCTTCCAAATAAATTACTAAGGTTTTACTGAGGACTATCATCTAATGTAAATTTTGCCGTTTTGTGTGCAGAGTGGCTTTCTACTTTGTCTCTAATGCAATCGTGGTCTCTTCTCTTTTCCTGCAGCATTCTAACCCTGGACATGCGGGGCCTTTTCCAGTTGTTTCTGTGCACAACAACACTATTAATCCAACTAGTCCTACTACAGCAACAATGGCAAATGCAAACCGTGGTCCTACAAGTCCATCTGTTACAGCAATTGAACTCATTCCTTCTGTAACAAACCCGGAGAATTTACCTTCCCTGCCAGATATCCCACCCATCCAGGTCAGTGGAGAAGATCAGGCACTTATGCTAGAGGTGAAGTAATGATCTGCTTTCCTTTCTATATCTTTTTTTTATTTGGATATCAGTATTTTTCTGTGGAGTGGTATAGATATGTATTGTTTAAAGTGAAAGAAGAACTAAAATCTGTAGTCCTTGCCTTAGGCTTGCAACTCTTTTGGCTCTATAGGTTTGGCCTGCTCAGCCTGTGCTAAACTTTAATTTAAACAGCATTTAATGCCTGTCATATAACAAAACTGATGCTTAAATTAGTCAACCCTAACTACTTTGTTCACTTCCTTCCTTCCTTCCACAAGTCTGTCCTGTGGGAAAGTATCCCTAGAATCACTGAATCGTTATGTCTTTCAAATGATCTGAATTTGGAGTTAAAGTTGCCTGATGCTTCTCTGTTCATGTGGAATGTTGCTAAACATAACAGTCAAACCCAGGACATACAGAGAAAAAGTATATTTCTCCCCTCCTTCCTTTTCTCTCTCCCCTCCTTCCTTTTCTCTCTCCCCTCCTTCCTTTTCTCTCTCCCCTCCTTCCTTTTCTCTCTCCCCTCCTTCCTTTTCTCTCTCCCCTCCTTCCTTTTCTCTCTCCCCTCCTTCCCTTTCTTTCTCTCCTCCTTCCTTTTCTCTCTCCCCTCCTTCCTTTTCTCTCTCCCCTCCTTCCTTTTCTCTCTCCCCTCCTTCCTTTTCTCTCTCCCCTCCTTCCTTTTCTCTCTCCCCTCCTTCCTTTTCTCTCTCCCCTCCTTCCTTTTCTCTCTCCCCTCCTTCCTTTTCTCTCTCCCCTCCTTCCTTTTCTCTCTCCCCTCCTTCCTTTTCTCTCTCCCCTCCTTCCTTTTCTCTCTCCCCTCCTTCCTTTTCTCTCTCCCCTCCTTCCTTTTCTCTCTCCCCTCCTTCCTTTTCTCTCTCCCCTCCTTCCTTTTCTCTCTCTGCCGCAATACTGTGGCTCTAGTCTATTTTCCTCTTGTATGTAAGAGGCCATGCTTGCATTAGCACTGGATCCTTGATGGTGCTGCAGAGCATTTCAACAGCTGGCCTCCATGTTCCATCTTGAGCCCTGGTTATGGTGTCTGCCTGGAAATTCTTGTCTGCGGACATTGACAGTTGCTGCTCCTGTAGCTTTCACTTTATCTGCACAAACTGCCGACCGTCTTCCATATCCTCTCCTGAGAGAGGAAGTGGGTACTGCACACAAGCTGAGGTAGATTTTGATGAAGTCAGGTTAATTTAGAGAGGTCAGAAGCATAATTTAACTTATGGGTAGAGGCAAAGAAAGTAACAGTAATAATATTTTTCTGCAAGAGTGTTTTGGGGTGAGGGAGGGGAGGATGATGGCTTTATCTTGAGAACATGATGTTTATGTTGAAATTTCTGGTGCTAACACAGTCATGCTAATAAAGCACAGGAGATTTGAGCATGGTACAGGAATCACCTTAAAAACAAAACCTAAATTTCATCAAGGCTGCTGGTCTGCTGTGGTACCAATAACTTGTAATTCTTAGAAGAATGGTGTTCGAGGGTTACGCTTTCAGTTTCCTGATGAGGTTGCAGATAATTTGATAAAAATAGGTAAAAGAGAAAGATTACATCTCTGAATGTGATTGATCTGTTGTGCTGAAGCTTTATTAGTCATTATAGCAAGGTCTAATATAATTAGTTAAGACTGATTCAGTTGTACGTGTCTAAAGTTTATTAAATAACAGGTTAGAAGTAGTTGCTAGTGGCATATTCTTAAGCATAAATATGCAACTTCTAGGTGCATTGAAAGTGCATAACTCTATATTGGTATCATTTTTTTATACCTGTTCATGTAATAGCTGTTACAGATTTTAGTTGATGGAAGAGTTTGATAGGAAATTATTCATTGTTCAGAGCGCTGGCAGAGTCATAAAAGCTCACTTTGAATAAAATATATTTCAGAGCCATTATTTACAGTTATGCTGTCTTCTTCCAGTAGATAGTTTTAAGAAATTAAAGTAATAGGGTACCTGTTTCCTTGTTTCTAATAGACGTTAAAATCTGTGTAAGAAATGGATGGGGCAAAAAGTTTTCACGTCATGGTAAGAAAAAAACAAGTTCATGGTTTCCTTTTGTATCTTTTCTGTGGAATAACTGCTGCAACATTAGTAATCTAGTAGTTCGTCTGACTAACAACCAAGAAGTCTGGAATAATCTAAAGGAGCTGCAGCCTATGACCTTGCTGGAAAAATTAAGAAATACAGGAATTTTTGAAAATCTTAGTTCGTTGAATTTATGACTGTGGATTTCTATTTTTGAAAGGATCGGTCTCACTATGAAACTGATGATAATGTTTGCTGATGCCCTGAATCCTTGAATGGATAATGAACAATTCCAGTAAAGATACTGATCACAGTGTAAAGATGTGAAACTATTAACAAATGTTACTTAGACTTTGCTGATTTGGACTTTGCTTTTTGTTTTTTTTTTAGCTTGAAGATGCTGGTTCAAGTAATTTAGATAACCTTCTAAGCAGATATATTTCAGGCAGCCACCTACCCCCACAACCTACAAGTACCATGAATCCCTCCCCAGGACCTTCAGCACTATCTCCAGGGTCATCAGGTGAGTGGAGAAGAGTATGATGGGTATTTCTAATCTTTAAGTTGAAAATAATACCTACCGCTTCTTGCCGTAAGAATGGTGATATTTTGTTATTTTTGAACAAAATAAATTTTAAACTAAGTTCTTGCAGAAAATTAAATTTTACCTTCCTTCGGAAATATCTTTATAGTAACAAACTGCCTGCACGTGAATGCAGTATTCTAGATACGTATATAGATTGATGTCTCTATATCAATATGCTATGCTATGATATTGTTTGGCTTTTATTACCCCAGTTCATTTTCTTTTTGTGCATCAGAGGACATAGTTCAATAACTGCCCTAAATGATGACTGTCTAGACCATTCTGAGGTTTGGGAAGTAAGTTTGCTGAATATCAGTGAATAGCTTGATTAGTCACAGAAATATCTATACCCAAAGATGATTTGAGCAAGCTCATTCTAAGTACAGCGAATTTAGAATAGAGCTTTCGTTATGCATCTGAACAAATTAAATCACCAATATACCTGATGTTCAGTTATATGAATATTCAAAATGTCCATTTTCATTAGTAAGAAGCTGATTTCATCCATTTGGTACGCGTGTTTCACTTGGTCTTCTCTTTGCAAGGTTTTTGCAAGATTCTATGAGTGAATACTTGCAGCAATGGAACTTGGTTTATTTCTCAAAACTCGCAGGCAAGACAGTCTGCTTTACTTTGTTGGTGGATATTGATGGATAAAATTTGAGGACTTATGGGTTGAACTATGGCATTATTTGGATTAAGTGAAATAATTACTGGGACTCATTTAACAACTGCTTGTCATCTGTGTTTTTATTTAATGTAGTGTGCAAATAACTGAGAGGGCAGCTGGTTTGTGTGAACTATCAGGCTATTGCAGCAGCAGCAGCGCTTCTGGTGTTACTCAACGCTAGTCATATTTATTTTATTGTAGCTTTTAACAGTTTGTACCAAGTCAACTTCTACGCTTCTTTTCAGGTTTATCCAACTCCCACACTCCTGTGAGGCCACCTAGTACTTCTAGCACAGGTAGCAGAGGAAGGTGAGTGTGTTACAGTTGATACTGTCAGGCTGAAAAATCAAAGGTGGAGAATTCAAAAATAAATTGGCAGCAGGTCAATGGGGCTTTGTTGTAACTGCGACCCAGTAATTGAAGAAGCCTTACATGTAGATGATTTTTTTAATATGTTTCTCCCCACTGTCTTGTAAAGTTAAGCTGTCCTCTAAATGTTTTGACATGCTTTGCCTTTGCAACGTCTAACTTTTTGTATTCTAATGAATTTTCATCTTATTTATGTGCTGGTATCTTTCTAGCTGTGGCTCCTCAGGCAGAACTGCTGAGAAAACTAGCATGAACTTCAAGTCTGACCAAGTGAAAGTCAAGCAGGAGCCAGGGACAGAGGAAGAGATATGCAGTTTCTCAGGAACAGTGAAGCAGGAAAAAACAGAGGATGGCAGAAGGAGTGCTTGCATGGTAAAGTTAGTTTGTGAAACAGTATGTTATGGTGTTCCTACCAGCATATATAAGCATTTGGAAAACATAAAGCAGTTCTACTCGTAAGCCTTATATTCTGTTAACAGCTCTGAAGATTGGAAGGTATTTTGGTCCCTGTTAGTGTGTTTGAACTTTTAAGCACAGGTGAGCTCCAGTGGTGAGCTTTCTATTTTTGTAGCACTGCTAAGGCTGCTAACTATTTAGGGTTTTGTGACATAGGTACCAATAAACTGGAAACAGGACTTGGGCAATTGTTTGCTAGCTTGTGTCAAACAAACGGGCATTAAATGATGTTTCTCTTGTTAATTTGGACAGGGTTTGACCTGGTGTTGTAGTTGCAAAAGATGCCCAATCCTTGTACATTTTATGTATTGTCATGCGTAATTGCATGTTGAAAGTAGTGCAGTAGAAAAAAGTTAGAACTTAATCTCAGTTTGGCCCATGTTTAGGACATGATCATATTCTTTGGTGCGTGCTCTGCCAGACACAGGATAGTACCATGTAAATTTTGTCTTTAGTTGTTCAAATAAAATACCCCCAACAGGGTAGTTTGTTGCTATTTTTAATCCCTAGCTAATGAAACCTGTAAATAACCCATTGTTAGCAGGAATTACTCAACGCTCGTATCTGTGTAATTACACTCAGAAATCTTCCGGTCGGTCAAGATTTCTTAGGCCAGAGCAGGCCTGTCATTGGCACTTTCACAGTTCTTCAAAATAATTCACTTGCATAAATATTTTAGTGCTTCCCAGCTCTGTTTGATTTAATGGGATTGTGTACTGGGAGCAGGGTGAAGAACTTGAGGATTTGTCCTAGTGACAGTGGAGGTATGTATTGACGTTTTACTGGTGTGTTTGGATTAAAAGTTTGTTCATCGTGCTAGGTAATAGAAATGAGTCTGTCCTTGAAAGGACAGACTTGTGAAAAAGTAGTTTTCTATATTGTATACAACTCTACTGTTCAGAATGATTTGCCGGTTATTTTGGGAAATGCCTATTGTGCCAGTAGACAGTGGATGGCTTTTGACTTCTAGCGTGTGAAGAAAGATGCCCCTGTAAAACTGTTCCCTTCTCAAATTTTCATGTGCTACTTTCATTTCAGCTTAGCAGTCCTGAGAGCAGCTTGACACCACCGCTGTCCACTAACTTGCATCTGGAAAGTGAATTGGAAGGCTTAGGAAGTCTTGAAAATCATGTAAAAACTGAACCAGCAGAATTAAGTGAAAGTTGCAAACAGTCGGGACATAGCCTTGTAAATGGAAAATCCCCCGTGCGAAGTCTAATGCATCGATCAGCTAGAATTGGAGAAGGCAATAACAAAGAGGATGATCCAAATGAGGACTGGTGTGCTGTATGCCAAAATGGAGGGGATCTATTATGCTGTGAAAAGTGCCCAAAAGTGTTCCACCTGACTTGTCATGTACCAACACTCCTCAGCTTTCCAAGGTACCAGAAACCTTGCAGTTTAACAGTTTCCTTAGAACAGCTCTGTGGTCTCATTCACGTGGTAGGTTTCAACCTAAAATTGGTGCTTCATGCTCAAGACTGGCTAGTTCTGCATTGACTTTTGTGAGTAAAAAACCTGACGTTTTAAAGGCCTGCTTGGGTTGTTCTGTGCATAACTGGTTAAAATTTATTTAATAAACAAATGAGCTCTCAAAGTATGTTTCTATTATGTAAAGTTCATTATAAAGTCGCGATGAGAAAGACGTTGTGTTTAAGTATGTAAGCATATTTGGGAGAGGAATGTGAGGGGAGGAAAAAATGGCCTTGGCAGGCAGAGTTATCTTGAGCCTTATTGATTACCCTTTGTTGTTATAGATCTAAATCTTTAATATCGTACAATGTGAATTTGTCAGAATTAATGAAATAATCTTTGTAGCCATCACTGGTGAGACTTTGTCCCGTGATTCTTGGAGTAATTGTGTTTCTTTCTGTCTAGTGGGGAGTGGATATGTACGTTCTGCAGAGATCTAAGCAAACCAGAGGTAGAATATGACTGTGACAATTCGCAACACAGTAAGAAGGGGAAAACAGCACAAGGCCTCAGTCCTGTGGACCAAAGGGTATGTCTCAAAACTGTAGGAATGAGTTTCTTAGGAAAAAAGCGCTTTCTGTAATTAGCTGTCCTCCACTATTTCTTGAAGATGCTTTTGCTGTGGCTGCAGCAAATTGAATATGACCGTGGCTTCAGCAAAAATACAAAATGAGTAATAAGATTTTCTTGCTATGACCACATAACCAGGTCTTGGTGACTGTGTGGGAGTGCTCCATAATTAACTGTAATCATCAACTGGTTAAAACTCACATGTAAACATATATTCTGTATTTAAATACACACTCTAATATGCATTAATCTCTTCAGTGTTCTTAATTAGAAGTTCTTTGCATTTAGCATTAATACAGTCCTCATAAAAGTAATTATGTTAAGTTTGTTGTGCTAAGTTCAGGCTGTGAGAGGTGCTAGAAATATTTGGGCGCGTTCTTGTGGAAGGTGTAATGACCTCGACTGTCAAAATTATTTTTAGCTTTATCATTCAGACTGTGAACAAAGTGTTGGAGCATTATCAAATCAAATTCCTCCAAGAGATTTGCATGTAAATGTAAGAAAAGAATTTGAACAGGAAATTCTTAGAAACACTTTGATTTTAATTTCAAATTGGTTAATTTTGTCTTGGGGAGGGTGGGGGGAGAAGTCCTTAACTTGGTCTTTTCCTGTAACTGCATGTTACACTCAAAAGTGGTTATAGTTCCTCTTTTTTTAATTTGATGGTTTATTAATGGGCTTCTGAATGTTTGATTGTAGCCCTAGGTTTTTATTTTGGAAGAAGAAAGCAAAAAGGGAGTATATTTCTGCTATCTGAGCAGAAGGTGTTTTTTTGTTTTTCCCATCAATAATGCCCTCCTAAGAACTTGGACGTTTTATAAACAAACTTGTCCAGAGTGTACATTAAATTTGCTTGTAGTAAGCTGCTACAGGACAAACCTATTTAAAATAGTGAGATATGTACTTCTGATGAGGATATTGACTTGAAGCTGTTTATTTCTTTGTAAGAAATGTGAACGTCTCCTGCTTTACCTGTATTGTCATGAGCTGAGCATTGAATTTCAAGAGCCAGTCCCAGCCTCGGTGAGTCTCCTTCTGCAAAATAGTTGATGATTTTTTTTTTGGCACAAGATCTAAAAGGCTGGAGTTTTGAGGGGCTTTGTTTTGGGAGGGAGCTAATGGCTTCTGCTTGAAGCATGTCCTGTTTGATCAGTCTAAAAGTTCTGACGGTCATTCAGTATTTCATGATACTTCAAAGTATCTGATTCTGTAGCCTCTCCGTGCAGAGGCTGTACTCCCAGTCTTAAACCCACTTGTTTAAAAATACTTCAAATTAGCAGTTGTTGAATTGGTAGAGGATGACTCAGGATACCCATGAAGTTCAAAATGTTACAACAGGAGGCTTTAAGAAGAACTGTCTTTGTCAATCTTTTAAATAAAAGCAAGAAACAAACTGCTTTGACTCTTCTACTTTCAGCTATAAGAAAAGTAACTACAATGAAAAGCTTTGCTGTGCTATGATAGACAATGAAGGCAGGAAAGAAATTCTTCAACGGTTTGAGGAAAAGAAATTGTTCCCACTTACTGAACAGGCATACAGTGCATGATAAGATTAGCTAATGGCTACTTTGATAAGAAGTGAAGAAATTCAGCTGCTTCTGTGAACTATGTAGTCATTGTCGCGTTAAATCGTTGTTTGTTCTTTACAGATACCAAACTACTATAAAATTATAAAGAAACCAATGGATTTATCTACAGTGAAAAAGAAACTGCAAAAGAAACATTCTCAACATTACCAAACTCCTGAGGATTTTGTGGCAGATGTCCGGTTGATCTTCAAGAACTGTGAAAGGTTTAATGAATTTTGTTAACTTTCCAACTCTATACTTTTTTTTTTTTTTTTTTTAAGATGTATTTTAACCTGATTCTGCAGCTTCTCCGTATAGAGGCTCTGTTTCAAATCTTAAACTTCTGTGTTACGGAGCAGATGCTGAGACAGGCCCTTAAAAAGCGCAACACAGTTACAGAACTAGCTCTCAGTTTTAGCTAGATGGGGAGATCAGGCTTTAATAGGGAGGCCTTTAACATTTAGCCATGTTGGGAAACCACTGACTGAGCAATAGTTGTATTCATTGGTTTTGATACATCACTGAAGAACAGGATGACCTTCTTGTTAATGTACATTGAATAGATTGTGGCAGTGCTTAGGAAGTGTGGTGACAAAGACAGTCAAGCAGTCCTTAAAACTATCTCAATTTGCGCAGATAACTGTGCTTATACTAATGAAATAGGACAGATCTCCATTGAGGAAGCTCCCTATTGAGGACAAGTGCCTTTCTGAAGGATATCCTGCTCTTTCTAGTACCTGCTGCAGGCAGAATCCAAAAAAGCTTTTTGTTCATTATTCCCAATATTAAGCTTAATGCTTTTGCTCATGGATAGTTGGGCTCTCACAAGAACTAGTTTTCAACAGGTAGCTTGTGTATGGAGTCATATTTTTGATGAGCGTGGGAAGTTTTGCAATGAACTCGTCTGATACTGAAATATTTTGCCTTACTAATATGTGAAATGTGACTTGGGGAGATGTGCTACCTAAGTGTTGTTATTAGGTGAAGCAACAGAAAAAATACTCTGAATATCAGAAAAATGCGGCATTATGCTGAAACAGAGTAGTCTCTGAGGTAAGCTGGGATGTCCTCATTTCTGAGATTCCTTAAAGCAAGATCATAAAAAGCCCTGGCGAAGGCATTGCATGGAATGGCTTTCTTGTGACCTTAGAAATGCATAAAACAGCCAGCATTTCTCTGTAAAAAATGTAACTGGAGTTTTGCAATGTTTAAGCAACATTTCTGGCTCTCAGAAGAGGTAAATTTGTAGGAAGCATGCAAACATTTAAAATCTCGACTGCCTCACAAGTATGCTGGTAAAAATCAAGGGTAAATAAATTTTAGAATGTGATGATGTATGCTGTAATTGCAAGCATTTGGGACTTTTACACCACCAACTCCCTTATGTCTCTGTATTAGGTGGAGGTTAATGAGCACTGTGGAAAAAGTTGCAGTCATGTGACCTTCTCAATCAAGGGAATTAATGAAGCATCTGCTGTAGAAGAAAACATGCTGCAGCTCTTAGGGACAAGAGTAAAACAAGGGAGCAAGGACTGATGGATGTTTAAAAAGGTGTTTTAGACTGTGTCGCTGTTTGAAATGCTGGCTGGTAGCAAAAGATGAAGCAAGCTGACCGCTCATAGCAGAGTCAGGTCTAGTGCCTCTGAGCTATATGCTCTTAAAAAGTAGAAATCAAAGTGGGCTAAACACCCCAAGAGTGTAGCCTGTTCTTCTGTAGGAAAGACTTATGGAGCTCTTCTCTGTTGAAATTCAAATGAGACTTTTCCACAATAATGTCTGGGCAACTAAACTTTAAAATGAATAAAGCAATCATGAGTAGAGTGCAATTTTAAAAATGATGGGGAGCAAATTATTTGTTCAAAAGTTGTGCATCTTGTCAAAGGTTCATTTACCCTATGTCACCCTCTTAATAAGACTGTTTTAAACCCTGCTTCCACTGAGTTTGAGAACTAAAGAGCTGTGGTCCATAACAAATTGTTTTCTTGTTATGGCTGACTTTAGTCATCCAATCCTATGCAATCTCATAACTTTAGAAAGGATTATAATTTCATTTTTTTTGACTCTGGTATCCTTTTTAGATGATGAAAGTTGTTCAAGTTTATGCAGAAACACAAGAGATTAATTTGAAGGTAAGCGTTTCAGACCATGCACACTTGGTGAAGGGATGTGCATTTCCAACAGGTGAATATTCCTGTCTTCTTTTGTTCACAGGCTGATTCAGAAGTAGCACAGGCAGGGAAGGCAGTTGCGTTATACTTTGAAGATAAACTTACAGAGATCTACCCAGACAGGACCTTCCAGCCTTTGCCTGAATTTGAGCAGGAAGAGGATGATGGTGAAATAACTGAGGACTCCGATGAAGATTTTATACAGCCACGTAGAAAACGTCTAAAATCAGATGAGAGACCAGTGCATATAAAGTAATCTAATGATATGGACCTAACTTTATTGTAAAAACTGTTATTTAAATGTTCCTGGAATATTATCATGCCTACAGTGGCCATCTTGAGGAAGCTGATAGCTTTTTAAACAGTATTAGATGACAAAAAACACTTGTACAGAAAAGGATTCTCATCAAAAGGGGAAAAAAATGTATTGTAAATTTTTTGTTCTCGATTATTTGACATTTCCTTTTCTTTTCCTGATGGGGGGGAGGGGCATACTCATTCTGGTCTCACAGAAAAGAGGTGAATGATGTTGAAGAGAAGCAGATTTGAAAAGAGGTGCTCCTTGTACAGATAAGACTGTCATACTGCTTAGTAAGATGTTCTGCAAGACTGGACCAATACAGTTACTGTATCTTGCTTTCATGCTGGACTGCAGTGTAAACTGTAAAAAATGTTCCTAAAATCCCCTTTTTGTGTGAATTTAAGTGTGTGTTGGGCCATTGGTTTTATCATCTCATTTAAGTGATATTGTGAGTAACTGATCTTCTGTGTTGATGCAAGTATCTAAACTTGACTTTCTTTACAACTTTTTATGTATAGAAAAAAAATCATTAAACTGTTCTGAATTGGCAAGTGCAGGAGTGTGAGTTCTTGGCAGATGCAGGACTAAACTGGTTGCAACTGTTGCTTTTTAGTAGGGCTAAGTATATTTATTAAGAATCCTGTACACAGAACATTTTAATGGAGTTCATGACAGAATTCTTGGCATTGTATCATCTGTCCCCGATCCCCCTAATGAGGCAGAATGTTATCTCCAGTATTCATTATCCAATTTTCTGTACTTAAAATATAGACTGAAGAGGTAATACCTGGTTGGTTTTTTTTCCAGTCTTCCTAAATATCAGTTTCTAATAGACCACTTGGCAAACAATAACGTATTGACTACCAAATGTGTAAAATTTCCTGTATTCACTTTGTCTTATTTGTAAATAGTGAACTGAGATTTCTTGCAGATCAGCAACATTTGCTGAACTGTTTTTAAGCTAATATGTATTCTTATTAATTGTTCCTATCAAGAAAAGATTTGTAATATATGCTGTCTATTTCTAACATTGCATTCATATTGAGGTTCTATCTTATTTTTATTAGAGTACTATTCAGAACTTTCTTCAGAAGCAGCTCATGAGTGAAATGTCTAGAAAGATTGGAATAAACCTGTTAGGATTAGGTTATTTACTCATCCATAAAATGAAGCACTTGCACAGACCTGGATTTGGAGTTGAGTGGTTTCTGGTCAAATACTGAAAACAACAATTTTCCTATTCCTCTAAACCCTGCAGCAGGCATTTCTGCAGTGCCTTCCCGTTGCACGCTGCCGTCGTTGCAGCATTTCTGGTTAGAAATGAGGTCGTGGCAAAGTAATTATGCTTTGAGCAGTTATTTTTTCCTTTACTGAACTGAAGTCAATACTAGAAACAAGAAATGTAATTTCTAACTTTCATGTAGATCTTGTTAAAGTAAGATGAAGAAATCCTGTGTAATCAGATGAGGTCAAGTTGACAGATTGTAAATTTGCCATAAAATTTTATGTGAATACAGCAGTTCTGTGGTAAATCACTGGGGGTTTAATATATCCAGCATGAGCAATTCCTGTGGCTGTTCATTGGTATGTACTTTACCATAATGGTAAAGATAAATATTTTTAGCACAATGTATCAAATTGAGAAATGCTCTGAGAAATTTTTATGCAAATCACGATTTGATTTCTTTTTATATAGAGCAAAGTATATATACATTGTGACTATACCTCTCACAGTAAACAAGGGGACTGAAGGTATTCATAACTTCAAGCTCACTTCTTTATCTTATGCAGATATTACACTTGACTCAAACTGATTTTTTTGTTGTCGTTCGGATATTAAGAGCGCCTATTTAAATTTAGTTTTTACCAGTTTGTGAAAGGAAAAGTCATCCTACTTAAACATACATATATTAAGTTGACACACAGCAAAAACTTTGCCAGTAGAAAAGGGTGAAATGTATGAATAGGACACTAATAATAACAAGGGATCATTTAATGGCTCAGTGTATTGCCTATTTATGCATTTCTAGTTTCTCAGCTTCTTTTTGCAAAGGAATATTATTAAAATTACAATAAAAATAAGATTCTGTGAATTCTCTTCAATTGGGGTTACTATTTTTATGGCACTTAAGCACTCTAGGTTCTGTAGCTGCAGGTCTCAACTTTTTAACTGTTCGCTTTGTGAGGCTCTAGTCGTTGCTTAAAGTATTGCAGGTACCTCCTGCCTGAACGGGAGCTCAGGACAAGTGTGGTGGCATCCCAGGTTGGGTCCTGCAGCAGGGAAGGGATCGTGGCACAAAGCCGCGGTTCGGGGGAGCGCGTGCTCCCGGGCTGCTGCGAGCACTGTAGCGTCTCTTTTCCTCCCAGACCCCAGGTACCAGACAAGATTTGTCTAACTTTGTAGTCTTGCCAGGTGTAGCCTGTATTCCACTAGTTCACTTGCAAACCACAAGTAATGTTAAGCTTTGATCTTGATTAGAGTTCAAGCTTTACTCTTGCACGTAACCCAGTGAACTTCCAAAACTGATCCTTCTATTCAGCTCATCGGGGTTCAGTGGTGTAATTTATGTGGAGTTTTGAACTGTGTGCAAGAAATCTTAAGTGTTTCTTTTATATAAAAGAAATGAAAGAACATTCTCATTTTTGTTCTCCATTTTGGAACTCCAAATACAGTAATTGAATGATCGTTTGGAACTAGCTAGGGTCTGTTCACAAAGATTCAGAAGGATAGGTGAGCTCTGTTGATACATTTCCCAATCCCATAGTCTGTAAAAATTCGTCATAGAACTGGTCAGCGTTTGCTCAACCAAAACAGCTTTTGGGGGCCGCGTTGTATGTAACTTGGTCAAGAGCAAACGCGTGGGTTATGCATTAACAGGCCCCTGGGTTAGTCTCGCATCTTCTCCTTGCTGGGTGATGCACGTGTGGTGTGCGCAGGTGACGGTGTGTGTTACCGTGGGAGTTAGAACATGGCTTACGTTAAGAATGAAACTTTGGCAGATAAAAGACGTGGTGGATGCAGGCTGCGTGCCAGCTGGTCTGTCTGCATGACTGCAGTTCTCTGACACGACAGCAAGAAGATAGTCTGGCACTTGATGTAACTATATGCTCTAACTTAAGATGCTTTTGTAAAAAGATCATTCATGTCTCAATTTTTGTTGTAAATGACCCTGAGGTTTAAGTTAATCCAAAGAAGTAAAAGGCAACTTGCTTTGAAATAGGAGTGAAAAGTGTACAGTGTGCTACTTGTGGACTTCTCAATTACCTCAGCAGGTATCCTGCCATGTAATTACTAGTGATTAGTGCTAATTTAACCAGCTAAATAGGTTCAGGTCTTTTGTTTAACTGTGCCCTGGAATTAAGTGGCCTACAGTATAATATGGCTGAGTTACTATCCAAGAAAAAGGGTGTTCCCCAAACTTTTGAGAGTAGAAATGTGCTATTAAGTGTGGATAACTTGTTTCTTGTGAAATGTCACCATTGCTGTTACTTGTGACATTTGACTGTGTCAGCATATTCAACACTGGATCAATGAAATGTTTTATAAACATTTCTGCAAGCCACTAGAACAGAAGTCTTTAAAATTAGCTCAAATTTACCATTCTGTTGTATAGCCTAGTTTATTGGCTGACCCTCTCTAAGCTTAGGTAATGGCAACAGTGTTTTGAAGCTGTGTGTATGATGTACTGGGAGTAGGCTTTTTCTTGTTTTTCTTATTCTCTTCCTTGGAAAAAGCAATAAAACTGCTTTGTCTGTTGCCTATTAGCATGACAGGAATCCTTTCCTTTGGATAGTGATTTTATAGGAAAGTTTGTATGCATATCACCAAGTCTAGCTTTTAAAAATAAAGTGTGCAGGAGTTATTGATGATATAGTGTGGCATTTTATTTTAAAAATTGGGGAAAGTTACATATTTTTTTAAAAAGTAGGTGTTTGAGTAAATAATGGAGGTACTTTTTTAAAAAAAATTTATATGCCACAGTTTACATAGACATATTTCAGACTGAACATATGCATTGTATCTTCAGATATGGTGATTTCTTTTATTTTCTCAAAATGCATGTACAGTAACTCTTCCATCTAGTTCCTGTGTTTGTCTATGGGGATTCTACTTTATATGCTTTCTAATGTATCTAAATTGGTTTTCAAAAATGGCAGTTAATTTGGGTATCTTTATTATAAATGAACTATTAAATGTATGAAATGCAGTTTTGGCCTTTTCTATTGAGTGATCTTACAGCTTAAGGCTACTTTCTTTAGAATTCATTGAATTTGTACAAGGCAAGGTACTAGAACAGTTTTCCAAGTTTGACTTGTTGCAGCATTCACTCTAGAGTGTGAGCTACGTTTCAAAAAACAGAATAGAGACTGCAAGTCTGCTAATGGCCTGCAAATGGGGGTATTTCTTAGGTTCAGAACACCATGAAATATGTATATAAGCCTATGAAGATTTGTGCAGTTGAAAGCCTGTTTTACATGTAAACATACTCATGGAAGGGTTAAGTTCATGGCATTCTTTGATTATTTCTTGCTTCCAGTAATTAAACTGGTACTTTTTTGCACATAGTAAACTTTGCTCATCTTTTAATATGATTCTTCAAAAAAAGTGCTGTTTCTGTGGTATTGTATTATCTGAATAATCATATTTAACTTTTTTTTTTTTTAAACAAGGTTACAGTTTCTAATTGTTCTGTTCCTGTGTTTTTGCTGGTGTGTAATAAAAAAGTTTTTTCTTTCCAATGGTTATTTAATACATTAGCTGCCTGTAAATATTTCTTGTTAAATACTCTGGAATGTGGTGTAGAAGTTGTACTAGATCAGTTTAAAACATTGTTTGAAAACCATTTTGTTTCGGTTATTTCTATTAAATTAGAAAAATGAAGAAGCTTTCAATTTGAGTTTCTTTTTTGCAAATCTGGGTTAGGTCATAAGGTACAGACGCATCAGTTTCCTGATACTTGGAATAAAGAAATATGGCTAAACACCTCGGTGAAATTTTATCTGCAGCAATTAAAATGTGACTGACCACCTGAGGGTGCATGATCTGCACCAATGAGCAGTTTAAAGAGAGCAAAGACCGAGTTCTAAACTCAACCCAGAGTTTGGACTTAAGACAGTGGGGTTTCATCGCCCTGCACTTTCGGGTCCGTAAAATGATTCGTCACCTGTATTTACACCTCGTACTTGGGATACGTATGGTAGGTTAGGGGTTGCAGGGTTTTCTGTAGGCTCTTTTCCTGACGCTAATCAGAAAGCTGCTGCTCTGAGGTTCGCAGCTCACTTAACTAAACGCTGCGACTGAGGTTTTCCTTAACAGGCCCGGATGATTTCCGAAGGCTTGGCAGACCTGGCAGCGGGGGCTGCTCTGGGCCCCACTTCCCACGCCTTGCACAGCAAGTCCCGGAAAGGCAAGAAAGGCGTCGAGTGGATCCCCGGTGACTTGTTAACATTGGCACCCCTGGTTAAAAATGCTTCTTGTCTACCCTGCTCGGCTCTGCTTCCTGCTTTGCAAATGAGTCCGTAGCGAACGCATAGCTAGGGACAGCATGTTTCTTTGCTTAGTAAACGAGTTTCTGGGGGCCAAACCCATGCATAATGTATAAATGTGGCTCCAAATACAGGGAACATGAACAGCAACTACTGGTTGGTCAGTCCACATCTCAGGGATCGAAAAACCCCCATCGAGCAGCTTTGCCTGGTGCTGCGATCAGGGGAGGACACGGGAAGGGCTTTAGTGCCGGAAGGGAAGAGGAGGCTGCTCCTGCCTGGTCGGCAGTTCTTTTACGCAGCTCAGAAACGGCCTGTGCCCGCACACGCGCAAAACTGCGGTCGTGTTCATTTGCCCTTGAATCACAGTTGGCGTTTACGCCTTCACCTCTCCTCCTTACTGATCAAATCCCTTTCTCCCGCGCTGGTGTTGCCCCTGGGTGCGCCACGCTCTCTGAACTGAAGGTGGGGCCCGGCTGAGATCTTCTCGTAGGGCATGACCAGGTTCAGCTGCAGCTGTGGAACTGAAGCAGGAATGAGTGTGCTTCAGGCTGTAAATCCTTGAGAAGCTGTGTTTTCTCTTACTGATCATTTCCCCTGTTTTCTTTTACTCTTCATTTCAAATACTTGTGCTTTAGCATTGCAGAAACACCATGATGAAAAAGCTGCCTTTTAGGAAAAGGTAGTATTAACTTTATACTGAAATACACGTTTGTTCCAGCTAAAAGTGAGACTACCCTGCTTACCACGTGAGACAGGGTTGCAATCCAGTGCCCAAAATCTGGTGGGGCTTAACCTCCTCTTTCCACCCGCGACTCCACCAGCAGGTAGAAACCCTGTCACCAGCGGCAGGGGCGACAGACC